CCGGACCTTACAAAAAAAAGGCAAAAAATTTAGTACTCAGATCAAAGATTCAAAATTTCTTTTTTAAAAATAATAATTAAAAAATAAATAATAAGTCGATATTTTATACTGTTCAGTAAAAAACAAAAGTTTTTTTTCTTTGACATTACAAGTATTTACAGTAATCCAATTTTTAAAAATCACGCGAAGAATAAAAACGTACTATAATATTATTTGATCATCGACAACGGTAACGACATATTTCATATCGAATGAAATGATGATTGAATTATTACAATAGCTCATTTCCGTCACGTAAATTATTGTTTTTACATATACTGTAATATATATGCAAAGTCTGATTGGTCGAACTTGTATAAACTTTTCCATATGCATGATATGACACCTGTTTTATTTCAAATTTTACCATTTATGTCGTTTAAATTACAAAATTTTTAAAAATCATGAGAAACTTTATTTATTATATATCAACACAGTTTTTATTTATTAAATGAGAACAATAATACAACTCATATGACAAGTCTAACGAGCAAATATAATATATAAATATAGGATAACTTACTTGATCGATTCGGCCCGGCCAATGATCCAAGGAATGGGGGGTATCCCAAAGGAACATCACGAACACCTACTCGCGAATTACGCAGTTTAAGGGAAACAAAATTTAACAAAAAATTGTTTCATTAACATAAGGGAAGGTACATAGCAATTCCACCGCTAGGAAACGCAGACCCTTACGAACTTAAACCGCATTCACGAGTAGTATAACAATACTGGCGGGTCCCCCCCATTTTGCTTCTGTTTTCATTAGAAAGTTAAAATAAATTTAAAATACGAAAATCAAATGAATATACCTAATATGTCCACATCTACATTAGCCTCTTCTTCTTCTAATAAATAAATAATATTAAACATTAAATAAGTGTTTCATCATTAAAACATTTTTTAGTCTTGTCAATATGAGTTGTCATTTATTATGATAAGGAAAAGGAAGAACATTTAATAAATATAGTACAAGTTCGTCTCCTAGTGTCCTTCATCGGCTTAAGATAAAATTCTAAAAAAAAGAAGTGGATAAATAAGTAGTTACAGTTATCTAAGCCTGGAAAACAATAGAACAGAATAATATTTACGCTTAGGAGTAAATAATATCAAACAGAAAAGATTTTTCATGACGGAGTCTATTTTCCAGGGAACAACAAGAGGTAATAGAATATGAGTTTGCTAGAAGCAAAGTTTATGATGCACCGTTTATTTAAGGTTAGCACAGTTCTTTATGATATATTTTTTATTAAAGGGACAAGTAAAAGATAAGGTGCGATGGGAAAGGTATGTTCACAAATTTTCCGCTTCTTTTGTTTTTGTTATAAGGAAAAAAATAAACAAAAATCATGCATGCAATTATTTTCCATTAAGGGATAGACACCTCCAATAAGAAAGCTAAATATAGTAAGTATATTAGTGGTTTCTTTGCATTGATCGATTCAATAGAATCAGGACTTTAAGGAGTAATATAAAATATACATATATATTATTATTTTATTATAACTCGAAACAAATGATAATCCGATTTATCACTTAATGAATATGTTTACGTTTTCCACTAATAATTATTAATAATATAATTAAAATATGATGAAAGTGATTGATATACTTGATTAATAATAAAATATGATATGAAATTATATTTTATCCTTAATTTAGTACGTTACAACCTGATTTTCGTTAAACTTCCCATTTAAGTTAAAAAAAGTTTAAAAATATCATGACCCCTGGTTTGAAATGATGGGGGTTTTTTTTTATAAATTATGATACTTTTTTTTTTTGTTCTTTAAAAATAAAAAATGAAGCAAAATTAATTCAATATATTTTACTTTACTTTTGACATATCGATATGTGTTCATTACCTTTGAATCCAATACTTTAGTGATTTCGAACTAATTAAAATCATTTTCTTTCAAAATATATTTTACGATTCCACAATTAAAAGGAAGAATTAATTTTTCACGACATATAATAAGCTTCATCTTGATGAGATGATTAAAGTGATTAAAATTTTATTCTGCAAGTAGGAATCTAGATATAATTAAAAAATTATATATAAATTTAATGGGATTTGGGATGCGATGGGATTCTAAAGGGTAGCAAGACGCGCCTTTGAGTAAGTATTATGTTAAATTTTATTATTAAACAAATAGATGTTTCATTTGACTTTGATATTTGAACTCCTAATAATTGTAATAATTGTAATTTTATGATTTTTAGACAACGTCTTCAAAAACTCATTTTGATGCTAAGAAATATAAAATGTCACGCACAAACGATTATTCAAATGTTAGTACGTCGAGGGGGTGTCAAACAAATATCAGGAGACATATATAAATACAAGGATTTGTCGCAAAAGACTTTCTTACGGATGTAAACAAGTACGAACCCTATATTTGTTCGATGAAGAAATCTACGATTCACTGGGCAAAAAGTTTTAGATTTGAGAAGATGGTTTTGCACAAAACACCTTCTTTTATCCTTCATAGGTTCCATTTATAATGTGAAAATTTTCTGAGTATTATAAAATTGTCGAAAAACTCTTTTTTTTTGATGGTCTTATTTTAGATAGCCTACAATGTTAGGAAAATTTAGTAATTAACGAAATTAGTGTTAGTATGCGAATTCCCAATACCCAAATAAAATAATTAAGATTCATAGTTTAAAAAGATCAAACTTGAATTAACTATTATACACAAACATAAGAACGATTTCTTCCCAAGGTAAATAAAATGATTATATTTGGAAGAGGTTAATTATTTAAGAAAATAACGATAAAAATGAAACGATCAAATAGTACATTTATCCAAGAAACAAATAAACATAATCAAAAAGGGCGTTATTAAAATCGAAGACATAGTAAATCATATGATCCGTAATATCAAACCGACCAAATATTCTGACTAAAAAAGAATTACATATTCGTACTTTCGAAAAGATTGAGGTAATAAAAAAATAGTACAAAAAAAGACTGGAAATTCTAATAAAAAATTTAGATGATTTCTTTAATAACTCTTAACTTTATAATTATAATTATGAAATAGTTTTTTGCAGTATCAGATGCTGTATTTTGGTAAGATAAGATTGCGTTTGTAGAGATACAGTATTATCGGATTTGAAAATTTCAATAAAACAAAATTACAAATTTCCTTTCTATAAAACACTATATAAATAGCTAATAAGTAATAATATATTTCTTTTTGCTGCTTTTCCTTCAGAAAATGCATGTCATTCAGACCTAACTGTCGGATCTGGTCTGGTCGATATGTCATTTAGGCCCGTTATGATTTAAAATTTTATTTTTCGTCCAACAGCCTCGATTACTGTAATTAAGGAAATTGTCCAACATTCGTTAAAATCGAAAACATTAATATCATTTTAATAAATAAGCATTTAAACCTACAAAATAAAATGTAAAATAAATTAAGTTTTGTATCATCCAAGTCAATAATTTTTTAGAAGACACAAGTGGGATTCGGTCTTTGATAATCTGGCATAAGTAAATATCGATTCGATCCCTTGTTTCTTCGTTAATAGGAATGAGCATACCCAACATTTTTCGCTTTGCAGCCATCTGAAATAACAAACTTCCTGATTTTTGAGATTTCAAGTTTCCACATGATTATAATACTTGACAACCTAGCAATAATTACTTCCAATTTATTTTTTAAAATTCAAATAAATTGAATATATACAGTATATATATATAAATTTCATAAAGGATACATAAATAATGATATGTGATACTAATATGATTTAATCTTATTAAACTTCAGTAAAAAGCTTAATAATGATTTTTTTGTAACAGAATTAATTTTAGGATATAGTTATTTTTGATTAAATTTTTATGGAAGCAACGAAAAATTATAATTTAATTTTTAATGAACTTTTTGCTTATCGAAATTGTCTTAAAACAATAATGATTTTGGTTTTGAAATCGTTAAAAGGAAAGCAATAGATTAAAAAACGCAACAAAAACTAAACTGGAGAATTTTGAAAGAGACTTAAAATTTATATTACGGTAGCGACAAATTACATTTACATAAATATGAATCAAATATGAATCAAAAAAAAAAAACTTAAATTTGCAAATTTAAAATATACATTTAGAATATACATTTAATACGGTGAGTTTGAAGTTTCTGTTTAAAGGAATCTTGAGGTAATTTGGCTTAGAATTCTTTGATATACTGCGCGTTAAAAATATATATACCAAAATTACGGAAATAAATTATTGGGAATTATAAAATCACATTTATTATATTTCCACTCAGCCCAAAATGATAAACAATAAGCCACGGCTGTGTTGTGAAAAATAAGCCCATATTTTTAATTTTCTATACAAAAAAAGTTAATTTTATATTTATTTTTTTCTTTCTTAAAAATTTATTGAAGGAAATAAAGACATTTTAAATTTAAATAATATAAAAATTATAAGATGTTTGTTAGATATAAAAATCATTTATTCTTGTTATAATATGAAGGTAGCTCCTCAAAACATATAGATTATATAATATAAAAAAATAAAATAAAAATATAGAAAAACAATTTTTGGAATGTTATTTTCAAATTTAAATTAATATACTTACTAATTTAGGTTTTGTAACTTTATTTATTTTATCATAATTTTTAATATTCTTAATCATATATTATTTTAACACGTATTGGCTTTTATTATTTGTTCTTTTTTTTACATATTAACATTTGTTTTTATATTATTTTTTTTTAATTAATAATATTGGTTGCAATTTTTTTTTAGGTTTTTAATATGATCTAATAACATTATTATTTAAAAGATCATATTACTTTACAATTATTTACATTTTAAGATAGATCCAATAACTTATAAAATAATTGAAATCTTTCAACTAATAAATTCAAAACAAAAGATATATGATTTTACAATTATTTAATTAAATTATAAAAGTAGATTGTTAAAAAGGTTTTTTAGGTTTTATACATATATAATTTTCTTATAACTTAATTTACAATTTAAAGTTTATTTTAATATATAAATTTTAATAATTTTTATTATTTATTTAAAAAAACATCATTAATATTATTATCACTATTATCATATTTTTAAACTAAATCAAACAATACTTAATAAAAATGAATTAAATAAGTTAAAGATAAATAAAATTTCTTTTATAATTATATTCACATTATATATGAAAATTATGTAATATAACTGATTAATAATTCAAAAAATGAATTAGCTTAAAAAATATTAAATTGGATTAAAAATTTCTTAACTATTAATATAATTATTACTAATAATTATCAAAATTATTTATTTTTAAAGACATGATTTTATCAATCAATAATAATTAGTTTTTTTATTAAAGTTATATATGCATTTAAAGTATTTGATATAAAAGTAATTATTATTATATAATAGTAAATAATATAACAGATATGCTTATATTAAAAATATTAATCTATAATCATTCTATATAGATATTACATTATTAAATATTATTAAATATTGCCAATTATTGCCAATAATCTACTAATCATCTGTTAATTTAACTTTAAAGTGACTTTAAAGCTTCAAATGAAGCTATAGATATTTAGGTAAAATTTTAAATTATATAATATATTCTTTAATTATTTAAGAACCAATAGCTAAAATAATAAAAATATTTAAGTAATCGTAAAGTTATTATTTAATCAATATATTGAATTTTTTAAATTGCATAAAAATTCTATATTAGATTTTTTTAATTTTATTAATATTTATAAACTAAACAATATATAAAAATATCAATAAAATAACTTATTTGCTATTTTTATTATATTAATTGCAAAAGAATAATTAAATAAATTACTAATAATACAAAAATACTTACTATATAAAAAGAATCTATTTCAGTTAACAAGAAATTAAGTTAAACTCATTATAATAAATGCATAATATATTGAATATAATGAAATATATTTTATTTAAAGTATGAAGAATATAAAGGTCAATCAAAAAATTAATTTCGAAAAAGTTTCAAAAAAATTAATTTAAGTTTTGCAATTAGATAAAAATGCAAAAATTTGTAATTTATGTAGAAAAAAAACTAATACAGACTAAGAATATATTATATTAAAAGAATATTATACCAGTTTTTTTTAAAAAAAAGATAAAAAAGGTGATAATAATATTTTGCAAATTGGAAATAATACTTATAAAACTTATAATAAAGCTCAAAAGATTTGCATTATTAAAATAAAAATTAGAATTATTAATATCTTATTATCTAAATGTAATTGATTTTTTAGAATAAATTTATTTAAAAATAGAAAACTAAAACTACCTAAAAATATTATTTAAAATACAATATATTATATTTAATATATTATTATATTGATTTTTTTTTCTAAAATAGTAATACAAATTTTATGATCATTATATTGATCTAAACATTACTATATATGAAAATCATTAAAAATATTAATCATTATTAAAAGAATTTTCTTTTATTTAATTTATATTAATTAAAATTATTAAAATTTAAAAATGGGTTATTTGTCTTTAAAAAAAGAAATAGAATTATTATATTTATTTATAATAACTATCCTTTTTATTTCATTGCTTCTTATAAAAATGTTAACTATAGTCACCTCTGAATATAACGAATCTTTATATACTGAACTTTTATTATATTAGATCTAAGTATACAAAACTGATTTTTTATAATTATTTATACTGAATATACTGAACTTTATAATAAAATCCTTTATACTGCATCCTAACTCATAATGACCAGTCCTGATATATTAATCATATATTTGTTATATTGAACATCATGTGATTTGATCATATTTATATAATCAATCATCTTTTTTTAAGATTATTACAATTATCTATTTGTTTTAATGTTAAATGCCAACTTAAAAAAAAGAACCATATTTTCGACAGCACAAAAATGTGAAATTTGTAAAATAAAAGAAAGGGAACCAAATCTTTCTAACGTTAGTCTTGCACAAAGGTATAATATTGGAAAATTATTAATTATTGATATTTTAAGTAAAAAGGAACGCTGGCTTGCAATTTTAAGAGACCAAAGGAGTATTAAAAAATTTTGTGATCTAAAATAGCCATGACTTAAATAAGCATTTGGTCTTTGAGTTAACAATGCTTTTAATACAAAGCAAGATATTGATAGTAATATTATAAAAATTAAAGTGACATTTTTTATATAAAGGTTTTCTATAGAACATTTTTACCAGTCAGAAGGTTGGTTAACTGGTTTTAAAAAAAGGTATGGATTATGTTAATTTAGGATATAAGGGAAAGCCTTAAGTGCACTTTCAGTTGAGTCAATAGAAAATGACCACCTTATTTTATAAGAGTTTCTTAAGTTTTATAATCTAGAAGTTATTTGAAACGCTAACGAGACTGGATTATTTTAGAAAATAGAACCTTTCAGAGTTCTTGCACATGAACCTA